AAAGTGAAAACAATCCAAATGTCCATAAGGTATCCAATGGATAAATAAAACTTGGCATATCTATAAATGGAATACAGTTCAGCAATAAAAAAGAATGAGCTAGTGATACAAACAGCAACATGGGATGAATCTCAAGATAATTATGCTAAATGAAAGAAGCCAGATGACCAGGAGTGCATGTAGTTGTACTCCATTTATATAAACTATAGAGGATGAAAACTAATCTAGAGTGACAGAGAATGGATCCCTTGTTGTCTGGAGATGAGGTGGTGGTGGGAAGATTTATTTTAATTTGAGGCTGTTTTTAAAGGTGCACACATATATCCAAATATATCAAATTTAAACCTTCAAGTATATGCAATTTAACATATGCCAATTACACCTCCAAAAACAGTAAAAATATGAATTAATTTCAAAATATTATTCAATATATGGCATGCCATACATGAATAAGAAAATAATAGTTAGTGTCGAAGAATGAAGAAAAAAGTCCTGAACCACAGAAATGGTGATATAATAAATATACATTGTTTTATGCCACTAAATTCATTAACTTAGAAAGTATGAAAATAATAAGGGGCACAAATGAAACCGAAGGTGGTTTGACAATATTAATAACTTTGGTAGGCTTTTACCTAGATGAATTGTAAGAAAATGAGAAGAGATACAAATTAAACATAGCTTACATGAACAATAGAACTTTAATTTAGATCGTGCAGTAAATGGAAAATAAGTATGTATTAAGAGTTTTATGCCCATAAATTTGATAATTTGGGGAAAAACAAATTTGTAAGTTAAGATCTCCAAATGTCAGTCATGAAGAAATAAACTGAGTAATTTTGTACCTTCTAAATATATTGAACTTGTAGTTTAATTTCTTCCACAAAGAAAGCTCCAGGCTCAAATGGTTTCAATGGTGAAATCAATAAAACATCTAAAGACAAATAATGCCAATTCTACAATAGTTATCTAGAAAATTGAGGAGAAAACATTTCCCAATTCATTTCACAGAGTTACTCTGGTATCAAAACATGACAAAGCTATTACAAAAAAGAGAAAACTACATTTTTTCATCATGAAACTATCCAAATATTCTTAGGAGAATATTAGCAAAGTAAAGCCATGTATGTGTGAATATGTGTGTGTACATTGTGTATATAGGTGTGTGTATGCATGTAAATATATCACATGATGAGCATGATTACATCAGACAGTTATATCCTGAGCAAGAAGAGTTTATTAGAGCATTTAAGGTTGGTTTGATATGTGAAAATTAATCAGTGCAATTCACTATAGGAAAGAATAGAAAGGAAAACTATATGATCTCTTCAATATAGCCAGAAAAAAAAAAATAAGAAAAAAATTCAACCTCAGTTGAAAAAGAAAAAAAAAAAAAACTAGAAAAATTAAAAACTGAAAAAAGAGAAGGGAATTTCTTTAACCTAATAGAAAACCGGGTGCCTGGGTGGCTCAGTCGGTTAAGCGTCTGCCTTCAGTTCAGGTCATGATCTTGGAGTCCCAGGATCGAGTCCCGCCTCAGGCTCCCCGCTCAGCGGAGAGTCTGTTTCTCCCTCTGACCCTCCCTTTCTCGTGCTTTCTCTCTCTCACACTCTCTCTCAAATAAATGAATAAAATCTTTAAATAATAAAAAAAACACAACCTAATAGAAAACCATCTTTTAAAATCATAGAGCTAGCATCATGCTAACTGATGAAGGAATAAAGCTTTCTTCCTAAGATAAGAAACAGAGAAAGAATTTTCTTTCTTACTCATCATTTCTACTCTACATGCTGCTGGAAGTCCTAGTCCAGGAAACAGGATAAAGAAAAAACAACAACAAAAAAGTTATATATATTGGAAAGGAAATATAAAGCTGTATTTTCAAACATGATAGCCTATGTAAACAAGCCTAAGGCATTCATAAAAATGCTACTGTAACTATTAAGTAAGTTAAGAAAATTTGGCAACATACAAAATCAAATATATTTCTACATACTAACAGCAAACAATAGAAAATTTGAATTATAAAGCAATGCATTTACTAAAACATCAACTAATTGAAAATACTTAGGCATAAATATAAAAAAAACCAGAAAAGTTGCCCAATGACAACTAAAAAAATATGTTTGCTAAGAGGAATTCAATAAATGGAGAGATATACACCATATTCATGGATCGTAAGACTCGATATTCTGAAAGTACCATATTCCTCCAAATAGACACAGGGTTCCAATATAATTCCAATTAAATTTCAGCATGTTTTATAAAATAAAACAAAATGATTCAAAAATTTTTATGGACATATAAAATACCTAGAAGTTCCAGAACACTTCTATAAAGAAAAATAAAGGAACTATGTGATTTCAAGATTTAACACAAAATTACTATATGTAAGACAGTGAAATATTAAAGTACCAATAGACACATAGATAAATAGAAAGGCATAGGGTCTAGAAATAGACCTACACATTTATGATCAATTCATTTTTTTAATCTGCAAAATTAATTCAATGGGAAAAGGGTAGTGTTTTCATCAAATGACACTGGGACAACTGCATATCCATATCCAACTAAAAGAAAATGAACATAATCCTTTAATTTGGAGTTTTACAATAATTTTCTCAAAATAGATTGTAGTGCTAATTTTATAGCTAAAAGAGCTATAAAAATTAGAAAAACATAGGTGAAATCTTTGGGAATGAGATAGGCAGACTCTAAAATGATTCCACAAGATATAAAGCCCCATATATATGCGCCTTCTAAATTGATTAAACACTATTCTAAGAGTTGCTGGGAAGAGATTATGAACTTATAACAAATATCTTGGATCTTATTGACCTTAAAATATGAAAATTATCCTGGGTGTATTTGAAATAACCAAATGAGCCCTTAAAAGCGCCTGGCTTCTTCCTGGATAAACAGACTTAAAGCATGGAAGAGATTTGATGCGAAGAGGATTCCCCGAAGCTGACTTTGGAAATAGAGAGGGTCAGCAGCAGATAATTCAGGCAGCATCTAGAAACTGAGAGTGGTCACCAGCTGATAGCTAGTGAGGAAATGGGGTACTCAGTCCTATAACTGCAAAGAATTGAATTCTGCCACAAACATGGGAGCCTAGAAGAAGACCACCGGCTCCAGATGAGAAAACAGCCTTACTAATAATACCTTGATTTTTTTAAAGATTTTATTTATTGATTTGAGAGAGAGAGAGAGAGGGAGGAGTAGACTTCCCACTAAACAGAGAGCCCCATGAGGGGCTCGATCCCAGGATCCCGAGATCATGACCTGAGCTGAAGGCAGATGCTCAACCGACTGAGCCACCAAGGTGCCCACCCTGATTTTTGTCTTGTGAGATCCTGAGCTGAGAACCAGGACATAATGTGCTTCTAACTTACCTAACTTACCTAACTAATAAATGTTGTTGTTCTAAGCTGCTAAGTTTGTGGCAATGTTATTCAACAATAGAAAACTAATACAGTGACCTTTGGCTAGGCAAGAATTTCTTAGGGTACAAAATGCATAAATCATAAAAAAAAAATGCTATATCGCATTTCATCAAAATCAAATATTTCTGCCTCTTTGAAGACACTTAAGAAAATCAAAAGACAAACTACAGCCTGGAATATAATATTGGCAAATTCATATCTAATAAAAATTGTTATATTAATATAGGAACATTCATGGGCGCCTGGGTGGCTCAGTCGTTAAGCATCTGCCTTCAGCTCAGGTCATGATCAGGTCCTGGGATCGAGCCCCACATTGGGCTCCCTGCTCAGCGGGAAGCCTGCATCTCCCTCTCCCACTCTCCCTGCTTGTGTTCCCTCTCTCACTGTGTCTCTCGCTGTTAAAAAATAAGTAAAATCTTTAAAAAAAAAAATATATAGGAACATTTAAAAAATCCAATAAGTTAATACACGATGCGTTAAAAAATGAACAAAGTTTTTGAAAAAACACTTCACCAAAGGAGGCATGTGAATAACCAATAAGCATATGAAAAATGGACCAATATCATTAATTATCATATAAATGTAAATCAAAACCACCATTAGGTACACATCAGTGGAATGGCTAATTTCTTTTTATAAAAAGAACACAAATTAAAAATACTCAATACCATTACAAAATTTCACTTAAGTATCAGATGTCGATATTCCAAGAATATAAGACTAAAAGACGAGTTGGTGTTGCTATTTTACGCTTTTTGAAAATCCCATGTTCTTTTATAATATGCCCAAAGATTCCTGTGTTGGGGTGCTTCTGTTCTGCAGGTCAATTATAGATCAGGACTCCTATTTGTGTGTTGTTTCTGTTTCATACCATATGAGACAAATATGAAGGTCAAAACTCACTTAATTTCTCAAAATAAGTATGTACGTTCATGAACATATATATTCATACGAGCATGCTCACCCGAAACACTTGCAGTATCCTAGATGACTGGTAGGTTGGACATGACGTAGAGATGGGAGAGATGTTTATATTTTAGCAATACAGATAACTTCAAGGTTATCCCTGCTGTGGCTCTCCTGAACTCAACTCCTATTCCATGAGTATTGAGATAGGTTCACACTTGAAGTTGACTTCTTCTCCCTGAGGAATTTGGTGCCTGCTGTTGAAATAATTTATCATGAGAATCTCTTGGAGAGCGGCTACTAGTGGAGGAAACCATTAGTGTTTGGGGTCCTGAGTCACTGGCCAGGCCAAATACTCTCTCACCCTTATTCCCATCTGCAGTTTGCTAGATCTTTGGGGGCCTAGTAGAGAAACTAACTTTTCTGTAGAGTTATGTCTGAATAGGGAGGAATACATAAGGAAGGGTTTCACAAAGAAATGATTTGAGGAAGTTCCTTTTTAGTAGGGTTTAAACAGATGGGAGAATGGACTGAAAGACACTCTTGCAATAGCAGAGAGCAAGGAAAGGAGGCTTTTGAACTGAGAACTTGGCAGGGCATGAATGTAGGTGGTGTCACCAGATGTGTCTGGGAAGAGTGGGCGTGCGAATGGCAGACAAAGCGGTTGGGAATTCTGAAGGAGACTGTGGAGGGCCCAGATTTACAGGCAAACCAAGAATGAACTTTATCCTGAAGGTAATGGAGGACTATTAAAGATGTTTTAAGTTTGTCGGTGATTTTGACACTCCAGCTTTGCAAGGGAAAATCATTTAACAAAGCTTGTACTGAATCACGGTCTCATGTGACATAGTTGGAACCATGTTCGAATTCATTTGTAACTGCTGGTCTCTTGGGCCACAAAAGTACATTTCTAATCTGATGATACACTTTCATCTCCATCTTTGCTCATAATTTAAGTGCGTTCACATTTTAATATGTCCTCAAAAGCTATAATGGATTTAAGTAAAGAAATGATTCTAAATAAGGCAAATAACAGTATTGGGTAAATTTGTGAAGTGTGCAGTTCAGTAGTGTTACGTATATTCACGTTGTTGTGAAACAGATCTCCAGATCATTTTCATCTTGCAAAACTGAGATTTTATACTCATTAAACAAAAATTTCTTCTTTCCTACCTCCTCCCAGCCCCTGATAACCATATTCTGCTTTATGCTTCTAAGAATTTGATTACTTTAGTTAACTAATATAACTGGAATTATACAGTAAATGCCTTTTTGTGACTCACTTATTTCTCAGAATTTTGTGGGTGTTGTTAAATCTACTAATTTTTAGGAAAGCCCATTTGATTTGATTTTAGGCTTTCCAACAAAAGAGTCATGTGACTCCAGATAATAAGAAATATTTCACTTCTATATTTGATAATGACATATTTATTATAGGAAGTTTAATTAGTTGTAGCAGATGAAGTCCCATTTTAAAATAAAGATAATATAAAATGTTTCAGTGATATTTCTCCTATTATAGATTCAATAGCTTAGTAATTAAATAAAAAATATCAGGTTTTTGCTATACTGCTGGCACTCTTTTATGCTCTGGGCATATAGCTATGACTACAGAAATAAATCGTTGCTTTTATTGAGTTTACATTACAGAGGAGTATGGTAATAATTAAGATAGAAGGTTGATAGATATCAAATCACCAGGTTATAATAAGTGGTATGAAGAGATGGTTTAAAGCTGGGGTAGGCATAAAAGAGCCAGACAAGAAAACCTAGGGTAGAATCAGGACATTCCAGAGAGCGCAAAGAGTTGAAACATAAAGACCCTGTGACCTGTGAGTCTCAAACATGAACTTACCTAGGAAAACCAATAACAATGTTATTGTTAACAATTTTGTTAAACAAAAATCTCTGTATTAGACTAATTAAATGTTCTTTCCTTCATTCTAGTGGTCAAGAATTTTCCCTTGAATTGATATTATAGAGATGTCTCTATCAGTTCACGAAATTAGGGTTCAACAGCATTTCACCCGTTCCTTCTCTTTGGCCTTAGACTCATCAACTCTGTTTCTTAGCCTTGCCAGGCTACAGTATTATTGGAGCAATAAAATTAGATGATATTGATGAAAGCAATGGATAGGCTGAAAATCAGATTTTAAAGAGGAAGTTATATCATTATTATTTCTAGTAGCAGTAGTCTCAGTAGTAACGGTAGTTACACGCTATTATTTATAGATTGAAGTCTAAGTTGAAGCACATGTTAGTCTAGCATCACAGGCTTTCAAAGTGGAAAGGAACCCTTGAGATGATCTAATCACATTTCTTGCAAATGAGACTGGATCGGACCAATCAAGTGAATGATTACATACTATAAAGGATGTTGCGTTCAGGAGAACAATCATGGCACGAAGTCAATAGTATGCAGTGTCTGCGAATGAGGGAGTGGCAGCCTATCTAGCTCTCTTACCTAGACAGGAAAGCCATGATAACAATTGAAACTGAACCTCCTGTTTTTCCCATCCTTTACATACATCACTGAATAGAATACAAGTCTCCATAGCCAAGTGTTTCCTGGGAATAGCTGGCAGATTTGCTATGCAATTCAGCATAGATACCAGCCTCTGGAGAATGTGGCAGGCAGATGAACTTGGATTCTGCTTTAATTAAATCCCTGGAGGATCCCAATTACTAGGAGGAACCACTGCTCACTTCTTTTGGATATTTGCATATGTAGTCAGGATCAAAGGCGTTTTTGTAGATGCAAATACCTGTACAACAAACATTACTCCTCTTTAGGATCTCATAATCTCCCCAGAGAGTATCTCAAGAATAAAGCTGGGAAAAGTACATGCGATCCTCCTAATACTTATTACTGGAGTTTCACGTGCAACTTATCTCCCTGTTTACCTTGAATGAGATTCTGTGGCAAGGGGGCTAAATACCAGTCATCTGAAATTTGGATAATTTGGTGCATTAACCAAAAGAAAAAGGAAGAAACAAAGACAGTGCAGTTGAAAGGTTAAAGAAACTTTATTCCAGGCATTATTATTAATTAGCTATATGAACTCAGACATTTAACCTTTTTGAACCTCAGTTTTTTACCTCATCTGTAAAATGAATATAATCACACCAAATTTCAAAGTTATAAATGTAAAATTTACTGCTTCACAGATTTGGTTCCAAATATAGTTAGATTCCTTGTACTTTTTGAAATCAAGATAAAATAATATTAAGGCTCTGGGCAGGCTGTTTGGCTTGTTTGTCCTCAGATCCTTTCTGTGCTCTGCTCTATAAGGCAGGAGGCAGAACAGCTCAGGGTCCAGTCCCACACTGCCAGGCCTGCTAGGTTCTGGCTGGGTTAGGTCAATGAGTGGCACCATTAGAAAATTGGTGAAAAGAAGAATTCAGATATTCTCTCTGTACCTTTCTGCTTTGGGCAGTGTCACTGACAACAGCTGGTATCTTAGTGTCTCTAATGCTTCCTGGACAGATGTGTCCCCTGGGCATCAGTAATACCATCCTTCCTATCCCTCTGTTTTAACATTTGGGTGGAAACGACTTGCCTATGTTGCTAATCTTGCATTACCTAAAATCATTCATTGATAAACTGTTGGGAAACTAAGAGATTTTGTGGCTCTAATCCAGAAGAATAATAAAGCACTGTTTCAGGATGGGGATATCTGCTAATCCTTGATATATTAGAGTATGTACTTTAATGCACTTTTCAAGCTGAGTTTAGAAGGAATGTCGGTAGTTTGTGCAGATTGAGAGGTCAAAGAAGATGGTGTATATTAAGCTAAGATCCCTAAGGAACAGCACCCTCAGTGGGTAGGTAGGAATAAGAAAATGAGATATGGGCAAATATTTGTCTTAGCCTTGACTCTTGATAAAATGAAGAAAAAGGGGAAAAAAATCTATGATTCAAATTCCAAACATTCAAGTCCTGAATTATCATTACCTCTGTGGCCCAAACAAATGCTAATATGCAAACCAATCCAAGCCTTAAAGAAGCCTCAAAGACAAAGCACAGAGAACCAATGGTCCATGAACAAAAAACACAAAGCACTAGTAAACATGAGAGTCAGTATACACAACTCTGATGGCTTTGTAACATGCCAACTTAGATAAGAAGAAATAAGGCCCATGATTTCCTTCTCTATGCTTTTGGTTAGTGGTGAACACAGAAGAGCTTAGCATGAGATTTGAAAGTGGAGCAGTGGATGCCTACTCCCAAAAGGTCAATTACATAGTCTTACTCATGTTTGGTTATCTTCAGGCTAACTTCTGTTGGCATGGGCAGCAACCCATCCCACGCCCCTGCTCCCATGGTGTCTCTTCTTTTAGTTTTTGGGGTTTTGTTTGTTTTTTATATCTCTCTCTCTCTCTCTTCCCCACCCACTCTCTCTCTAAAATCCCTGCAAGGTACCAATGAGTTTCTAAGGGAACAGTGCCATTTCCTTGTGCTATGGGCCATTCAAAACAGTAAGGATACACATTAGGAATTGGGGATAGGTCAGTGAGGATTCCAGTTTTCTCTGCTCTTCCTCACTTGGGTTCATCTTTTTTTTCCTCTTAGCCACCTATTCTGTGACATCAGGATCCAGAATCAGAACAAATAGCTGAACTCAGTGTACTTTACCAGTTACTGCAATTTAAGAATGCCAAATTGCTATTATGAACCTCTTATTCATTCTTATACAATTTCTAGTGGTTCTGTTTCTCTGAGTGGACTCTCAATAATGAAATAACAAACAATTAACTAGACCTACAAAGACATAAGATGGATTTATCAAAGATCATGAATAATTGTGAATTTAATAGGTTAAAAGTAATATTAGTAGCCAGTGTAATTATGAAAAATTTGATCAATTGGATTTAAGAGCAAAATAAGACTTCTAGAAATGAAAGCTGTAAAATCCCAAACTAGAAAGTAAGTCTACATTTTAAACTGAGAATGTGTAAACAAAAAGAAAATACATATAACACAGTAAAAAGAGATGATATTAATATGGAAATAAAGGGAAAGGAAGAACAAAGTAAGAAATAGAGTTTCAATCACATATAAATTCTTTCAGAAAATTGAAAAATAGAGGACACATTAAAAAACCAAACATGAGCCACAGAAAAAGGAAAGATTGGTGTATGTTATCATGATCATAAAAATAATATTGTAAGTAAAAAACCAAGACCAAAAACAAACACAAAACCCCAAAAAACAAGTAAACAAAACTTGGAGATCATTTTCTTTACATGTCCTACTGAATTTCTTGTTTCTGTAGGACGATGTCTTTCATCAAATGTAGAAAAATCCTGGCTGTTATTTCTTCAACACTGTGCAGACTCTGAAATATCATTTGAGCTTTCAGATTCTTAGAAACCATTCTTGACTGGAGCTCTCAGAATCCTGCTTTGAGTCTGTTTGTGACAGCAGTAGGCCAAGAATCCAAGGATGAGCGTCCATGGAGAATTGGGGAGCACTTTTCCTATGGTTATCTTCCCTCTAGCACTTTGTCTCCAAATTCCACTTAAGTCTCCATTCCTTTCACTCAGTGAGGTTGCCAATCTTTGGGCACACACACAAATGAGGTACACATGGATATTTATATACACATACATATTTATATGTATAACAAAATATTGGTGAAGCAATCTCTAATCATATCAGTGAAATAAGTAGGATTAACTAATTTGTTAAAAGAGAAAAATCAGATTTTCATACAAATGGGATATGGACGAACACAAGGAGTATGCCTAAGGACAAAGAGAGGGATCACAACATTTCTTTAAAAAATATTGGACAAAGATATGTTAGGCAAATCCAAGGAAAAGAACTGGCCAGAATTCAGACCAAAGAGGGTGAAGAACCTTCCTATAATGCTAAAGGGTGTAAATCTTAAAAAAAAAAAAAACCAACCATGAATTATAAATATTTATGTATACAACAGCACAGCAACCACTTTTATAGGACAAAAAAGTTGATGAAAGGAGAAATAAATAAAACACCCCCAAAACTGAATATTTCAATTCTCTACTCTCCACTCAAGATTTAAAAAACAGAATGGATATGGATTTAAATTATATAATGAATAAAATAGGCTTATTATAGATTTGTAGCAATTTCTGAACATGTTTTTTAAGTATTAAAAATATTCATAAAAATTACCATAAATTAGACCACAAAGGAAACTCTGATACTTTTTAAAATGAAATAATACAAATAATATTTTCTTACTACAATGAACTAAAATCAGGAAAAAAAAAACACACAAAAAAAGTTGTTGATTTTTTTTTAACCTGGATATTTAGGGGAGGTTTTTTTTGTTTTTTTGTTTGTTTGGTATGTTTGCTTGTTTTATTTGTTTGTTTTTCATAGCAACCAGTGAATAACACCCAGCATTCTGGTCTCACATTGTCAGCAAAGGCATCCCTTCATTGTAGTCGAATTGAATTCTTCTGATTGGTTCTTGTACCAGTGCCAAACAACTACAGTTTGGTTAAAACAAACAAACAAGCAAACAAAAGACTGTAATTTAAGAACCAGTTGAGAAAGAAACAATTACTAGTTGTGAGTTTTGGAGACACACTTAAAAGAACCAAAGCCTATGAAGAAAATCGCTTCAGATCTTATACACAGAAAGAGCTACTGTGGAACCAAATGAAACGAGTTGAAAAATAGGAATTTAAGATATTAGTTGTCATTTAGATCAGTGTCCTCTGATTTTTTTCAGGGCCTAAGCTTATGCCAAATTTGCACAAGCAATACATTTTTACCAAGCTTTAAAATGTCTTTTTTTTGAAACTTCTAAAAAGTGTATTTTGTGCACTTTATCCAACAGATTAGAGCTATGTATTGGATGAGAGAGGATGAAGAAATATTCACTACCTACAACGTTTAGAGAGGACAAGAATGATGACTGTTGCAGGAATTTGAAACATACAAAGCAACAATTAACTTGTAGGAAAAGATCTCTCTCTCTCTGTCCTGGTGGATTTGATTATGGGTAGTTCAGTGGAAGACTTTCATATCAGCTAAAGGTTCTGTTTAACACTGGAGTATTCCCACATGTTGCCAATCAGCCAAAAGAGCAAAGGAGTTACACAGAATGGATAGGACGGTTATTAAAAACAACCCTTCAGAGGATCTTTCTGCACGTTGTCCAAATCAATACATGTATCTATTTTTATATAAACTAAGGCAGTTACCTGATGTACAGTGGAAAGGGTCAGCAGAAAAGGCTCACATATATCTTCTTGAAAATGTAACATACTACTTGAAAAGGAGACATCCAAAAGCCAATTGCCACTTGCAGCTTAATGTTGAATTATGCAGTGGGCATCATAAGATGGCAATGTGTTCATCAGCAATTCATATTTGCATTTCTCTGCAGCTAAATATGCTAAGGTTGGTGCTACTAAATTATTGTTTCAACACTTATAAAACTGTAGATATACCTTTCTAGATCTCATATAGTCTGGCTGGATGCAGGTAAAAGGTGGAACATGGAATATTGTTCTTCAAAGAGAAGTAAACCATAATTTATATAAAAATTAAAGCCTTACCAACAGCCATGAAAATAATTATAATTTAACAATTACACTGTTTCTCAATAGTCGAAGACAGCCTTTCTCAACAGTGGCTTCAGGAGAGATTTAAGCTCTGATGCCTTAGACAGTATCAGTTATGTATAATGGATTAGTTTCTTTCGTATGAAAAGTCTGGATCACTTATCCCCCTTACTCCTGACTTTACTGACAAATAAATTAACTTGCCAAAAACTTAAGGTTTATGGAAACAAAGACCCTTGATCTACTGGTTGAGAAGGAATGGACTCTTAGATTTTATTTGAAAGTCTTTAAGTACTTAGCACAATGAACCACAACGAAACACCATTCATCTCTTCCCAAATCACAGACTCGAGTGAGGAAATAATCAGTAAATGGCATATTTGGAAATTCAAGAAGCTGCGAAAATATATAGAAATTGATATCAAAAGGCTAACAATTTAAAAAGTTATATAAGTGCAACATAGAAATACTATATTTAATTGATTCATTCCTTCCATTAAAAAGTACTTATGTCTACTAAGAAATAGAAATTATGCTATAGTTTGAGAATTTGAGACTAAGTCTGGTGTTTTCTCTTAAAGCATTCACGATTGTTTCAGAGATAGGAATGTAAAGAAATAATTACAATACTAAATATGATATGGTATAATTGAGAAAGATATGTGTTAATAAGATTATACAAGATACAGTAAAAAATACTGCTATTAGCAGTATTAAATTGGACCATACGAAATTGAAGATATTTGATGCTTTTGACCTACAGAAATTGCAATTGTATGTAGCTCAATCTAATATTATTAGTTCTCACAGTGTTAAAATTGAGCTTGATCTTGAAAAACGATATATGGTTGGAATTAGGTTCTACAGCAAGTGACCTAAATATTACAGTGATTTAAACAAGATAGAAGGACATTTTTCTCTCTATTAAATTGATTTTGGAAGTTGGTGATTCAGGGCTGCTATGGGTTCTGCACCACAAATTCCTGATGACCTTGGTACCTCTCTATTAACAGTCTGATGTCTCATCCTGGTGTTACCCTCAGTTACTCCGTTCTAGAAAGCAGTAGGGAAACAATGATGAAGTAGAGGGATGGAGGATGCATGCCAACTGTCACTTCAGGAGTTTCAAAAGGATGCCACGTGGCATCAGACATACCGTTGTCTAGAATCTAACCACAGAGCTATGCTTAACCTCAAAGGAGGTTGGGAAATGTATTTTGAAGGCAACCATACTCCACCTAATAATTCTATAATTCTAGCACTATGGGGAAAAAAGGAGTATGGGAATTGAGGATGAACCACTAAGGAGTAGTAATCTAGTAATCTCTACACCTAACGTGCGGCTTGAACTCAAGGACCTGAAGATCAAGAATCACATGCTCTTGAGACTGAGCCAGCCAGGAAGGTCCAAATCTACATCAAGGTAAATGGCAGGAGCTGTATTTGAAACAACGGGAGTAGGTCAGACAGCAAACAGCCTTATATGTTGGGCTAAGACATTGGAATTTATATCATCTTCAATAAGTAGCTATTGAAGGATTATGAGCTGGTGACTAAATGAACAGATCTGCACTTTAGGAAAATCACTCTGGTTACCGTTGGGAAGAAGGACTGGAAAAGGACAAGAGTGAAAGAGTCAACATTTGTTTTCCTTGGAGGATAATGGGCTCATTTCCCAAACCCATTGCCCTTTAACAATACGGTTAAAAGAATAAAATAATAAAAATATAAAAGACAATAATTATCATACGGTCAGTTTATTCCTTAATTGAATTTAAAAAGTTATAACTTAAGCAAGTTTAACACAGAGAAAGTAACTAAAGTGGGTGTTATGGGTATAGAATTGTGGTCTAATTTAGATTCTAATATGGTGGGTAAAAATATATATATTTTTAATTTCTACAACTAAGTTTACAAAAATATCTAAAACTTGAAGATATCAAAATCACTCTTTTATTATGTGAAATGTTGGTGTTTAAAATCCTTGTTATTTTTTTAAACACAGTGATTTTTGTAACTATTTCGATCAGAATCTTATTTTGCAAAGTAAGTAATTTCTTGGAAGTCAGAATTTCAGGGACTATTACAATCTAGCTGTTTTATAGTTTAAGAATTTTCCAAAGTGCATTTTTTCATTTCTTTTTAATTCTGTAATATAACTAGCTGAGACAGGTCAGAAGAAAGTGTTGAAGGGGAAATGATCTAAAATTTGAAGTTATGTTGCTGATAGCTGTTTGGACATTTGACTCTGTTGTTTTATCTAAAAGCCAATAGAGTGGTTCATAAAACTGACTGCAGAGCACATTTCAGAACTAATAAAACAAATTGACTATTGATGATGTGCACAGAGCAAATCCAGTTACATCTCACAAAGCTTTATATTGCTCTATTTCTTCTTTAATGTTTTCTATTCATTTATTTCAATTTAAAGTTTGGGTAACAAGCCCGAACAAGATGCAATGTGGGTAGGCAGAAAGTGGCTGGAAATTTAGAAATAAAAGCTGCAAGTGAAATTCTGGGTCTACCCTTTGTGGCTCAGTGTCTGGACACATCATTTAAACTATCTTAGTTCCAAATTCATGGAATTAAATGTACTGTCCTTTTTAAGTATTAAATAAAATAGCATATGTACATGATTTGTAAACTAATAACATAATACAAGTAAAACTGTTATTACTAATTTAAACAAGGAATAAAGCATATATGTGTATGCGCACACACACACACACACGACTTTCATGGGACCTTCCTGTCTGACTTACCTTGCTTTTCTCTAATGGCATTTTGGAAGAAAAGGATAGATTTTCTTATCATCCCTTACCCAGAATTAGCACAACTCCACATGACCGTGAAGACAGTATTTTATTTTTCATTGTACCTCTGCTACCTGCTGCATGGATGACAAATGCGACAAGGATGTCAGGGCTGCTGTTTGGAACTGAGGAATATAATTAGCAGATACATACAAAATACTTTAATGACAGCCCCCTCCTGAATGCCTACACCTGCCGGACACTGTAATAATGAGGCTCATCTGCCACTTGAACATTGATCAAATGTCTCAATGGGGCTTGAAAAATATGTGCTTCAGTTGTCATCACAGACCTGGCACAACCCCACAACCAGGATCAGGGATACTGTGAAACAGTCAACACCTGCTGCTTCACCAAGCAACATTTTGTTTTAGTCAATTCCATAGGCTTATTTGCATCCTCTTAATTTTCTTATGCTAGAGATTAATCATTCATGAAAATAATAATTACAAAACTCATTTAAAAGCTTCAAAAAAAAAAAAGGTTCCTTTTGATGGGCATTGCTTCTGAAAGAGGAGAAAAAAATCAACCCATGCTTAAAGGAACTTCAAAGCTGGATGTTCTAAAACTGGGATGGCCTCAATTTTTTTTTTCTCTAGTAAAATTAGTCATGCTGGTTGTCACATATACAATGATAGGTGAGGAGAAGACATGGTAAGTATCTATCTCCAATTACTGTATATTAGTAAGAAAACAGAAGCAATTGGTTTATTTTTTTTAGATTATACTGAAAAGTGCGATCAAAAGAGGAAAATGCTATAACAAAATATGAAAGTTGAGAGGAATTTTAGAGTTCATTTGGCCAAGTAGAATCTGTTTCATAGAATAACACTCTGGCATCGCAAAGACGTGTGCATTTAGCATGCGCTTTTAAATGTTACTTCCATATGAAGAAACCGATTCCTTTTGTGGATAAATCTAATTTTTAGAAAATACTTCCTTATCTTGAGCTCACATGGGTCTTCCTACAATTTCCATCCTGTAATCCAAAACTGTCATCAACTGCATTCAGTATGTCTTCTACCGAATCATTTCGATATTCAGAGAGAGCCACCATAAACACTACAAGTGTGTTCCCCGCTCAAGTCAGTGTGAACGGTCCCTCATCTGTACTTCTGACTGTCGCATACTCCTCTCCCTGTCCATGATTTGACTGTCTTGTGCCCAAGTCATCCCTCCCGGGCACACTCCACTTCAAGATCCTGCCTTCCTTCTGACACCATTCAATTTATCATGATAATACTCACATGTTTGCTTAGGGATTTCATTTTGTTGCAAAATAAAATACTTACAAACCTCTTTACAAATACTTATAAACATGTTTAAATGGCCATTTCAAAATAATTTTCTCATTTTTATCTACACCCACATTCTCTGAAGGTATTGTTACCCTTAATTTATAAATAAGAATCAGACCAAATCTGTAGTTTTCTACAGATGTGCAAATTAACAAAACATGGTTTCTGCAACCAAGGTGCTTTAGCATGAAAAGCAAAGAGGTATGCACACAAACAAATGCAGTAAAATTTTGCTAGGACTATCATAGATGAAGGCACATCTTAAGAAATGTGGACTATGGCATAATAGAAGCTGATGCTCAATTTTACTTTCTGAGGATGGGCCAACTAAGGGTTTAGAAAAAAAACTTAACCCCTGATGTTAAAAGACGGGTTGGTATTATGTTTCTAGGTAATCACTATAGAAGCAAGCATAGAGTTTTCTGCACAAAACTGAGGAAGTGTGAACCTGATGATGTGAGGGTGAAATTACAAAGACTTCTATGTTTTCTGTGTGTTCTGTGGCTTGATGATAGGTGGAGGGACAAAGTGAGTGACATTAAAATCAGATAGAGGGGTGCCTGGGTGGCTCAGTCCGTTAAGCATCTGCCTTTGGTTCAGGTTATGATCCCAGGGTCCCAGGATCAAGCCCCGCAGTTGGGTCCTGGTCTTTGGGCTCCCTACTCAGTGGTGAGTCTGCTTGTCCCTCTCCCTCTGCTCCTCCCCCTACTTGTGCACTCTCTCTCTTTCTCTCTTCCTCACTTTCTCTCTCAAATAAATAAATAAATAAATAAATAAAATCTTCAAAAAAATTAAAATAAAATCAGATAGAATACTGAGAGGTACTGACCAGATCATAAAGAGCCTTCTCTATGAGGGCCAAGGTTTAGAGGTATTCATATGCATTGAGCCCAATTTATTGAGTATAATGCATCGTGGTAAGTGCTAGGAAATCGGTAATGACAAAAACCAGATAAAACCTTTGACCTGTGGGTGTTGTTTCTGATCAGCATTTTAGTAAGATAGTTTTGGGAATAGTGAAGAGATCATAATGTGAGGGACAAGATTGGAGGCAAGGATGTTAATTTGAAACTACTGAAATTCCTCATGTAATAAATATGGGCCTGAATTTAAGCATTATAAGTGGGGCAGAAGAAAAAGTTATGTGGAGTTGAGATTTGCAGGAATGGTGAATGCTAGAAGCTGAGGTTAAAAGAGAGAAAAGTCTCTCAATTATGTCCAAGTCTAAATGCAGGTTTATCTGTATTCCTTTTGTTTTTCTAATTTGATTTAAAATATGTTGAAATAGGTGGGTAGAACCATGAAATCTCCTGACAAATTACTAACAATTTTATTTCTCCATGTAGATATTGGTACATTAATCCACAGCAAATGCTATATTTATTTCCACAGCTACAAAAAAAAAAAAAAGCATATTTCACCAAAAAAGAGGATGATACTGCTGAATTATATATAAGTCCCCCCATACTCAAGATGAGGAGCTCAAACAAAGGCAAGAATACTCAGAGGTGTGGATTATAGTCCACCTTAAGAGGCTGCCATGGTTATCTTTCACACGAGGGTGGGCTCTAGCAAGGTAGTGAGGATATCCTGCATACATTCATTTACTTTTAAGTTTCTGTACACTTACTTGTATTAGTTTCATCCATTCGTGTGACTGTAACCTTTGCCTTCTTCATATAAACTGATATATTCCCACTCAAAATCTTTCCCAAAATTCAGGCCAGGTTTTCACAGTGCCTGTTATTCATCACTATTTGGATGTTCATGTTTTCTACCAAGGCCTTAAGAATAACATGCAAAATCATTTTTTATTATTCTTCTATATCTGCTTTTGCTCCTGTTGAATTTCCCATTCTGTTGATTCTGTCATCATGCTCAATGATTTGGGAAAATTATTTTTTCTTCCTTATTGTACCCTGGCATTTAGATTTCAAATTCTGCAGAGTTTTTGACCATGTTCTGTCTCAAGTCTTTACCAGTCTTCATTCAACTCTTTTCACACCATCATTCTGTCCAAATTAAACCATATGAAACTATTTGTATCAGATTTTTACCCCTTTCTATTATAATCCTCTTTAAATTCATTTTACCCATAATGGGGATTAATATTCCTAAACACTGCTAAAATCATACTGCTCAAGACCAGTTAATGGATTCCTGTTGCTTACAGAGTATTTTTCTATTATTAGTGTCACAAAACGGTCCTTCAGAACCCTTCCCACTCTGCCCTTCCAGGCTTATCTCTTGATACTTCCTTTCCCGCACAGAGTAAAATGCTACATATGGATTACCCTTTATTCTATAGTAGT